AAGGGAGAAAAATGCATTTCAGTATACTGCCAGCTTGTAAGCATTTCAAGAATTAGGACTTTTTTTTTCTGCTCCAAATTTTAAAATATCCAATTATGCGCCGCATTTTGATGTTTATCAGTTCTAATGGTCCCGTCATAAGCCACTCCGTCCGTGCTGTACTAAAGGTCGCAGAAGAAGTAACAATATGCAACACTCGATGCAACATGTTTATAAAATTCTTCAAGCATTCGTTTAATTAACACTCGCTCGTAACTAAAGTGTAGTTGATAAAACTTGCTGGACAATATACTTTTATATCCTCTTAAAAAACCTTGTTTGGTCGAACTGTTTATTTTACAACAATTTACTGCCATAATGGTTAAATCTGTATAGAATAATTCAAAGTGCCTAAAGCTGTTATAGTAGCATGAATGTTTGTTTCAGTAGATCAACGGATGGCCTAACCAACTCCAACAGACCACTTGAATTACTGTACCATATAAGTCTCGCGAGTGATACAACTGTATAAGTTGTTTAAAATTTGACTCGAGAAAGAACAAATCAAGAAAATAACAGAAGATGATGTTCTGGTATATTTTTCAGGACACTTTCGAGAATATTAGCTTTTTTAAAGTACGCTGACATTGCAAAGAAAATATATGAGAGGTCAGGTTATTTTTACTTCAAAAACAGGAATCAGCAAATTAAAATTGAGATTGGATACTTTTCCAAATTTTTACAGACTTACAATTGTCATTTTCCAAACAGGATTGTTTTATGGGCCCCTACAAATCAAAATCCTTAAGTTTCGTGAATTTGACACCTAACAGTTTGGAAACGTTTTGATCGTGTTGCCAAATAATTAAAAAACTATTTAAAAAATGTTAAAAATTCATCAGTAGGTGCAGAAATATGATTTAAAATGAGAACTTAATGCGCAATGATCAAATCCCTAGATGTGAAATTAAAAAGAAAATAGTGTGAAGACAAGGTCTGTTTGGTTATAAGCCCTTATATGAAAATCTGATTGCAGTGGTCTTATTACTTATCTACTATCTAATTTAATAGCCCATTCTATTACTTCTATCTGAATTTACCCCATTTCGTTTAATCAATCAAAACTACAAATCCGCCTATCCAACCTTTGCCACCTATCCAACAGTTGCAATTTTACGCGTATAAACACAAAATAAACCTTCCGTACCAGGATAGATACTATTTTTTCTTTCACTGGCTATGTACAAAAAAAAATACGCAAAAGTATTGTAATTTTGTGTATGTGGAATGGGTAGATTAAAACTAAGACTACGGAGCGCTCCGTAATAAGGATAAAAATACATACTATTTGTTTTTGTTTATGAGTTTCGTGACCACCGACCAAACTGGCCTTGTGTATTTGTAAGATTGTGTTGTATATTGCTATATCTAGCACCGATGATTGCTGAAGCAATTAGATTTTAGTTTATAACATTAAAATTAAAATATTAAAAAACAAAATTTAGTTTTTAACAATTGCTTACTGTCCTGTGCAACTGTGCTATCTGGAATAATTGTGTTATGGGATCTGGTGAACTTATAGGGCAGCTGACCAAGTGATATTAATTTGGAACTAGAAAATCTTATCTCTCATCCAACCTATTTATTCGACTTCTTCTCCACGTTACTAATTAAAGTGGATTCGAGTCAATGCAGTTGGTAAAGAAAACAATTATAACCCTCTACCAAATCTATATGTTACCGGCAAAGTTTGAAAGCCGGAATTAAGCATTACATAGAATGCCAAACCTATCAGAAATTTTATGAAATAAATCACATTATATACATGCTTATGGCGGCTATTATGGCGGCTAAAATGGAGTTAATTTGTTTAATATTAATTCCCCTTCCCCTTTCTTTATAGACGGTAAGTTATATTCTCTGCTAAACCTAGTTTGTCTCGGGCAAAGTCTTACTTATAAGAAACGATAAAAGGAGCAAATACTAACCCACACTCCCCAAAAGGTAATTTCCTCAAAACAGGCGAACCAATTATAAAATATCTAAAATCGAAGGGGAATCCAGAAGTTTAGTTAAGTTAGTTCTAGTTTCTTTCTTTTTTTTCAAGCAAAACACCCAGCGGACTGATTTTCTGATGAATACACCTGCATTCTATGCCTGAAATCGTTGGACATTCTGTAGGATACGTCTTACACAGAATGCCTTAATACCAGTACCAGTATAAAAGTGTTAGTATTGACTGAAGTTGTTTTTTTTATTCGCATTCCATCGAACAAAATACGGAACAGGATGGAGTCCAATAATGTTACTTCAACAACACCCTATATGCCTTTAAACAGGACCAAGAGCCTTAGAGTGACTAAACGTGCATCAAACATTCGAACAGAAGAACCCAACACACATCAATTACAATTTTATCAGACTGCGTTGCCTCCAAATTTAAATTTGTTGAGCGGGTGTTATAGTATGATGGAAAACCCACCCGCCGTTTCATCCGGCATTTTATCAGTTTATTGTGGAGTAATTAATAAAACATAAAGTTTGATCGGAAAAAGGGATTGAGTCATCCAAGTGATTAGGAAAAGAAAAGTAAATAATGCATCAAATATGTCCAATGCGTGCTAGACAAATATTTTACGATTAAAAACTCACAAGTTCAAATCGTGAAGTCGCAATACATAAAATTAGACTTCAGCTGCAGATTTGGGTTCGAACAAAGCACTGCGGATTGTATTTCGCGAAAACATGACAAAAAGACTTTTGCAATAAAATGCTGATATAAAATACAAATAATTTTTCGTATGTGTCATTTCACTGCAACATCATAACAAAAAAAACATAAACGACATAAAATAAAGTATTCATTTTCCGTGGTTAGATGCATTTTTCCTAATGATATTCTGATCTAACCTTACTGACTTCAAAGCAATATTTTCAAACAACAACATTTCAAAAATTGGGCGTAAGTTCGTATGCTCGAAATCCAAGTTTATTTTCAATAATTAGAATATAATACGGAATTGTAAAAATGGACATTAGAGGGAAATTTGCGTAACATCAAAAAATCTTGTCAAAAAAATATTCTTAGGTTTCTATTCTATTACGTAAATTGAAAAAATAATAATTTCGTAGACAACTGATAACTTGTACAATATTATAAAAAACTCCACTTTTAAGATTTTTTTTGAGTCGTTTTCGTGCTGTTTCTGTCCGTCCCTGTAATATCAAAATTTTGAAAAATATTTGTACCTTCAAGAACGCAAAATATAAGAACTTATCAACGTAATCGGAACACAAACCGCTATTTTTTGTGTAAAAGGCCAATAAAAAAAAATAAAATTGACAATGATGGATTAAAAGACTAACCAAAACTAATTTCCAAGCGTCATCGTATCGCATATGGTTTTGGGCAACCAAAAAAAGAAATTAATTTTTCGTTTTTCTTCAAAACTACTCGGAAGTTTAAAAAGTTTCTAATTGCCTGTTCGACATTAAAATCCACTCTATATCGCCTATAGAGCTGGAAATTTGAATTGCCTAGTGAACCATGTTTCGAACTACTTTTGATTTCATTTTTTATCCTCGCCCGCCTATCATGGCATTGCTTTACCGAATTTGCCATTTTATATAATGACAACAAAGTTCCACTGACTGACCACCCTCGTACATTAAGGTCGGAGCCAACCACCCTCTTTGTCGAGTTTTATTCCCGCTGATATGGTTTTCCCCCGAGCAACATACGAAGATCGATATTATAGTTGGATAGGGCTTAAATAAGGGGTGAATATTTTATTCGCGGCAAAGTAGAGTACATTTTCACGTCTATGGGATAAAACTATAGGAGACCGCAGAGTGCAGCGATTTTCAAATTGTATTGGGATACCCCGATCTTACTCAATATCAGTTGACTTACTAAAGCTATTAATAAAAAAGTCGGAAATATATATTAGGGAAGTCTGATGATTAACATTAAGGATATGTATGCACTATATACATTTTTGATTTTTGATTTATTTTCATATATCATTATTATCCAAAAAAGTTACGGTAATATTACGTAACGTACGGTAATATTGCCTTAACCTGGGCACGATAAGATAATTAAAAATGTTAATGAAAACTTGCGGTGGCTCTATTTTGCTCTGTAAAACAGACATAGCATTTTCAAGATTAAAAAATGTCAAGTGGAATTAGAAAATAAGAGAGAACGAGGTACGTTGGGTAAAGCCTTGCTTGCACTGCTCGCAGCATCCACAGCATCCATGCTTAGGTTAGTTCATGTCCTGATTCGTAACTAATTTTTTACGTATATTATTGGTAAGTATATTGTGGTAATCCATCTCCCTTAGTCTATACGCTGCGACAGGCAGAGTATAAAGCAGGAATACAGCACAGGAATTTAGAAAAGAAAAAAAAATTTAAAAAAAACTACCGTAGTATACAAAAAATTGTTGAAAAAATTTGAATTCAAAGGAGGAAAGGTCAACGGCAATGTGTAATAATAATAGTTAATATTTTAAAATTGAAATAAACTCTAGAAAAAATAAAAGAATTTTCCAAAATTTCGTTTTAAGGATATATTGTTTAGGACGAAAATGACTAAGTTTGCTTTAGTTTGCCGGTCTTTGAAATTATAAAAAATACGGAAATGTACATAATCGTTCGCAAAATTCAATACAAGGTGACAAAGAACCATAGAATTTTAATATGATTCTTTGCTTTTTGTTTTTCTAAATCTTTAAATATTATATATTTGATATGATATGGTTGAGGTTTCGTTCTAATGGCAAAAGCACTTTTTTTAGTTAGCGAATACCTAGGTAGTTCCATAATATAAGTAGTTCAAATAATATATAACTTAACCTGGGAAGTAACGACGTAGTTGATACTAATAGGAAGCAATTGGAAAAAATATTGATAGATATTTATTTTGTAAGGAAAACACAGTGTATCTTACATGACGATGCAAAACTTTGGACAAAATATTTTAATCACCTGTTAGAACAAGATCAAAAACTTACCGTTGTAGGTGTCAACAATAAACCGCTTTCTATCTTAAATTCCCCCGAAGAAACCTGAGAGCTTTGACTATCATTCGAAAAATCCGAATGATTCGACATTCCGTCGCTTAATTCCATCTTCATGATCGTCATAAAGTGAATTAATTCTTCTTATCACAAGGTCAGCTTTGAGGAAAAACAGCTGCTTAAAATCCGACGCGTTTTCAATTTTCGACAAGTGCAAACAAACCAGAAAACAGGGTATGACAGATTGCGCACACTTGTTCGATTCCCAACACTTTCCCAAACACGTTGAACTCGGATAAAAACACGACCTGGATGAGTCACCACCTTAGGGATACCCTTTCCTAGAACCACCGACTGATGTGTGATGTCAGAACTAAAAATATTCTTTGGACCAACCAGAATATGTTGGACCAATAAAAGAAATCGCAGAGCCGAAAATCATCGATTACGACCGAAACGAAGCCGAAGGTAAATTATTTCACCGTGGTTTGAGTACAGCCCAAGGACATTTTTGACGATGACTCATTTAGATCTTTGTTCGCTTTTGGCGTACTATGATTTGGACAGACCGGATTACACTGTTAATGTGGGCCTACTTTTTTTCTTTGATATAATGCAAGAGTACATGTAAATTCCCTCCATTATTGATTTGATGTTTGTACCTCTGTTAATACAGTGTGGTGACTTGTAAAATAATACCTAAAATTAGTTGGAATCGAGAACGCTGAATCAGGAGAGAATAATTAGTATAACTAGTGTCAACTGATTTCTGCCAGTATGGTAAGAGGTAGCGAGATGGCATTAATACCACGCTTAGCGAACTGGAAACAAGTTTCATGCGTTCAAGTACTTAACATTTTGATGCTGTGTTTTAATTTTAGTACTATTAATTTAACTTAATTACAGGGGGAGATTAGAATTCCCTCCACTTCGCATTTTTAAATGAAATGTTCGTTAGAATTTACAATAATTTATCAGGTTTCGGTTCAAGCATTCTTAAAGCGATCTGTTTCGGGTGCCTGCGCAATACATGGAAGAACAGTTTCTAATAGCCACACTGTCCATGGCAAGCAATAATAGAAAATGAAAATAGTGTTTATATTAAACGACCGACGTCCACATTTGGTAGATGGAAATAGATTAATATAATCACTATTTATTTTTAACATGAACATTGACCTTATAAAAATAGAATACCCCCTATAAGCCAAGAAAAGACACATGTTAAGCTCCAGATGTTCACGCGAAGAAAACAATATTAAATCACTCGAAGAGGCAACCAAAGGGTTGACATGTTCTTATTGGACGCGCGCTGTCTAAATTTGTAGTCATCATGCGAATCAGTTGTGGAAACAAAAGAAACAATATACGCAAAACTGTTTGACTGTGAACATTGAAGGGATATATATCCATAAAGCAGTTTTGAAATTTTCTGATTCTAATTTTATAGGATTTCAAGTTTCCAATACAGGTGGCGTTATAAGCATTTGAACTTTGTGTTTTACGACAAAACATATTGTAAAAAGAAAGAATTCTTGAAAAGTATAACTAAATTTAGTGCATATCTATGATTGCTATATTACTAATTAGGAGACTGACAAAGTTTGTGCTAAAAAGAGGTAAAATAATGGCAAGTGCAATCACGTTAAGTATACCCATAAAATTGACGGAATTTAAAGTAATTTATAAATAATTGTGTGCTTAATAACAAAGCGGATTTTAAATTCCAATTTAGCCTTTCTTAAATTAACATAATATTTTGGTTCGTTTGTTTATTAAATTACCAAAAAATTAAGGGTATAATAATTTACATGTACATGTACACATAGTAAAAAAAATAAATACATATTATTAAACTACAAATAAAGCAGGAAATGATCATTCTTCATATCTATAAAAATATAAAAAAATACATATTAAAAAAAAAACATGAAATTTACATAAAGCAAGAACTACATATACACACTGGCGCTATTAAGATAATGGCTGGCCAGTCAGTCATATTCCAACTGGCATTTTTCTGTTTCCTCAATTTCTTTGTTGAATGTTTCAATCCAATTTTCTTGTTCTATCTATAAGTATGTACATCTATAGCATAGTACTCACGCACAGTGACAAATATTTACGTACCTCAAATTTTGTCTTTCTATGACGCTTTTGCTCTTTTCTTTCATCATTGGTTTCTGAATCAATTCTTTTTCTTTTTTGTCGCTTTCCAATTTCCGGCGGCTAAAAATGACAATTTCAGAAATAAAAGGCATTAAAATTTGAATTTGAAAACCTACCATGCTATCAAGAATTTCTTCGGGATCTTCAAATAGATGCACCTCATAATTATTGGAGTCTTCGATATGCTCCTGTGGAATTTCTTCCAAGTTTTTAGACAAAACCGCTGCATCTTTAATTATATCGTTTTTCATTAATTTTTTCTTCTTTGGTGGATATTTTTTTATTGCTGACATATCAAATCTGCTCGGCTTTGCAGAAGGATCTTTGGATGTGCTTTCCTCATTTAAAACTTCATCTGCAGTTTCATTAAATCCAAAATATGTTATGTTGGTAATATCTTCAGAGTCACTTCCTTTTAAATTCATAAGGTTATCATTTTTAGTTGTTAATATATTTTTTTTATAGGCTTGGCGTCTTTCAATTGGTTTGGTTTGATTTTTAATTGGGCTGACAAATTGATTATAGTCATATAAACTGTTTTTTAAAGGAGTATTTTCCTTGTCTAAGTTATTTTCAATATAATTAAGTATACTTTGCTGAATGGGTGAATTGCTTAAAGCTTTGGGGCCTTTATTTGGTGTCTTAGCACAAGATTGTTCAAATTCTTTAGCTAGAGAATGGTTGATAATGATATCTTGTTGTAGTTGAGGTAATGCATTTTGTTTTATTCTCAGAAAATGGGGATTTACTTTTACATTCAAATCAAATCTCCAAGGACTTCCAGGTTGTTTCACACAATGTTCTGGTAACATTGTACTATTGGCTATTGGTTGATTACTAAAACTTCCTGAGGAGTCTGTAGATTTTCTTGAATTTACTATTACATTACTGATAATATTTACTTTATTTTGAGGACACCTTTCAGTGGTAATCTGACAGTCTTTATCAAATCCAAAACAACTTCCTATATCCTCTTCTTCATGTGCATCATTATGATCAGAAATATCCACGTCATGAGTTGAATTGACATCATTTTTATTACAAGGTGAAAAAATTAAACCACTAACACGCTGTCCAGAATTTCCATTTTCCTTTGTCTCTTGCCTTGATCCTAAAATGAGATGCCTATTTTCACACCTTGAATGAGTTTCTTTATTGTTACCTGTATAATGAACTTTAGCCGTAGTAATTATTTTCTGACCTACAGCTTGATCTCTATCTTCAGAAGTTATTTTGAACTCTTTATGTTTTTCTTGATTTTTCACTTTCTGGACAAGATTTGTGATAAGCTTCTTCATTTTGCCATCATAACTTTTTTCATTTTTGGCAATACATTTCTTCTGTTTAGTTATTTTACGTATTACTTCCCTTTGAGCCTTACGCTTTTGCAACAAATCCTTTTTTTCTAAATTCTTTACCACTTCATGAATTTCTTTTTCAAAAAAATAAGAAGATCTCTTAGGTTTTCTCCTTTTTCCAATCCTTGTGTCTGGACTAAAATCATTGAATTCATATTCATCATTGGTCAGTTTTTCAGTTTCAGGTAACATTTGTCTATAAACTGGTAAGGCATTTCTAATGGGTTCTGTAAGTGACTCAGATTTAGAGTTATGTGTTTCCTCAGCATAACTCTTTCGAGGTAATTTTCTGAAAATTTTATTTATCCTTACAGGAACATCGACCAATTCTGATAAATTTTTTACCGTTTCTTGTACCTCTTGATCTTCATCAGTGTTATTTGAATCTGGTATGACAATGGAGATATTCGCTTTAACTTTTTCAAAACTATCACCACTAAAATTGAAAATCACTTCATTGTCACTATCTTCAGGGTCAACAGAGACTGAAAAAACTACATCATCACATTCAGATTTTACAGTGCTTTTAGAAAACTGTGGTGGAACTATGCATTTAGTTCTAACTGCTTCCAATGTTTTTTTTCTTGTAACATTTATGGTTCGCTTTTTCTTTTTGTTGGTTCCCTTTGGCACCGCGATCGATTCCGAGGCACCTGTGATACCAGCCAGCTCTTTTCTTGTGCTGCCCTTCCCTTTAAACTTTGAAATATGTAGATCTGGTTGTGTATCATTAATTTCGTATGTACCTAGTAGCCGATTAATATTAACTTTTAGTTCTTTGGAAATAAAAGGCGCTTTATTTTGTGATATTTCCGGTACTCTATTCAGAGAAACTTGCAATTGCTTGAGAACAAAACCTGGGGCGGAATCCCCAAACTTAGTAGTTAACCTATTTTTATTGCCAAACCTTTGCTTACATTTCCCTTTCTTACTATGCTTATCTTTATTTTCTATAGTTTTTGCTATGAAATTCGATATATCACTTAAGGGCTTACGCCGGGTTTGTACTTTATTGACACTTTTACTAGAATTCATTTCATCGAAAATAACCTGATCATTGTGCTCTTTAAAATAACAGAATACTAAGGTTCTTCTTCTTTTACTTGTATTAAACATGCTGGGATCATTCGGACATTTTCTCGGTGAATGGTGACTTTTCTGTATAACCCGGAAGGATGCCTTACTTAAAAGGGATTGGACGAATCCATCACCCTCCAAGGGTAACGGATAGACAATGAATGGATAGAAGTTAAAAAAAATCTTTGACCAATAGCAAAAAACGGTCTCCCCCGCGGCCAACGCCACATCAAAGGACCATTCGGGTCCATCCGGCGTGGACTGAAAAAACAGCGGGACCGACAACGACTACAACTTAAAAACCTTCACAAAACACTTAGAAAACAAACAGTGCACTTTTGGAACCGATAGCAAAACTTTGTGGGACGATTACAACGGATGCTGTCGAGAGCCGTCAAAATCCAATACTAAGATTAGTTTCGGTTTAAAGTCAAATCGCATACAATTCTTGTTTTCTTCTATAATAACATAAAATAGGAAACGTTAGTTTTGATAAGTTTAAATTCAGTATTCTGGTTGAGTAGAAATTTCAAATTTTTGACCGTGGTAAATTGTATTGTCAAAAAGGTGATAAATATCGACTTTCAATCGGGGAGTAATCGTAGGAGTTTTGCCCAACATTTACAATAAAGATATCGAATTGGTGAAAGACGAAATTGTTTTATCTGTTCTAAGTACTAATAATTTTTGATGCTCGAAAAATTCTACAAAGTACATGATGAATAGGCGATATTGGTTGGATTCGTTTGTTCAAATCAGAAAAAAAGGTTATTTATTAAACAGCAAAAGCTGCAAAACTGGAATTTATGAAATTGTAAATTTGGTTAGTTTAGGAGTATATATACCATATAGCTATTACATACTACAGTAGTCCTACTACGGTAAAAAGTGATGCGCCGCAGGAGTCTAACATAATTGGCAACGCCGAGCTAGATATTGCTATTACCAGAGAATACTAACAGTCTGTGCCGTTGTTGACATTTTTGGTGGTTATGATAGTCTCTGTACCTTTTTCGTGTTTTGTGTTGTGTTTGTGGTCAAAAATGTAAGGAAAAGAATGTGCCTATATACGGGTAAGTGTTGCCTTATGTAAAATTTAAAAAGATTTAAAAGTGGTTTCTACAGGACGTTCACTGACAAACGAAATTACAAGTGCAGCAACTATGAGGACCTAATAGGATCTTAGACAACCCCGAGTGATTTAACAAACTACAGGGTTAAATAGCTACACAGGAAAATGTTTGGTTAATATGTTTTAGTGTACAAGAATTACAGGAAATATAAGAATACAATTAAGCCGCAAGTTTTATAAGAACTCCTGGATAATTACAAATCCTTGTAAAACTCACTGTGGGAAAGTTTTCATTTGTCATCACGCGTAGTGAAAATAAAATTGCCTTTTGGTTGGTCAAAAATTACAGAAATTATTACCTCAGAAAGTGGGGAATTACCAGAATCAGTTCAGTTGCAATTGCAGCAGGAGGAATTTAAATGATCAATCTGCATGATATTTTTGCAAAGTCTGAAGGGATTACAGGAAATTTTTGAGAATTAACAGGAATTCTGGGCAATTATTCAAAATTATGGGGTACTTTATTTGTAGGGCACCTACCTCCTTAGGGAGGTAGGTGGATCCTGCGGTACATACACACATAATTTGACACTGATTAAATTGAAATAGTTCTATCAATAAATACTGATTTTATAAATCTGCTTGTTGGATTCGGGACAACTTGAGTTATCAAAATATTATATGCACAACTTGGAAAGAAGAGATAATGTTTTTGGACAAGCTATTAGATTGATCCATGTTCTCTATCCCATTTTTTTTGTAGACTTACACATATGTCTGTTTCCTAGTTTTGATGTATTAACCACATATCCATGTAGTGTCATTCAATTTACATTTTATTTTTTAGTTTACCAAAACATGAAATTGTAAGGAAACAATGGATAACATTCCTTGTCAAAAATGGAGTTGCCAGGAAGGCTGATAGCTTTAGAAGAGCATCCATATCACTCGCTTTAAGTAATAGGAGAGGTGGTAAACACTTGATAAAGTAGGCAGTGCAGTGTCTTTTAAGTGGATATTGTGGTCAATTGTAAATCGGGTTACTTGTTTTCTGGTCATTCTGTTTGGCGATGGTACTTAACGGCCAGCCTATACTTATAGTGCCAAATGGTCCCTTTTTTTTCTAACCCGACTGATAAAATTTATTAGTATGTTAGCAACTTTTTTTTCTATCTAAAATATTTATATTTTTCCTGCATAATTTATGACTGAAAATTTTCCATCTTGAACATATGAGAAATTTTTGTTGATAGGGGGATGTTTTTCGGCTTTATTTCCAACAAGTCAAAATAATTTCTTTCCTAGAGCAGACACCAGCAGATCTTTAATCTTCAGTGGTAGTGAAAACAACATTACAAGTTATAGAGAAGCCTGGAACAGAATAACCAGCAGTCACCAGTTTTTAAAAAGAACTTAAGGCACACTAACATATTGTCAACAAGTAAAGTGATTTAAATTTTGTTTCGAATTATTATAAATGAACATTTTTTTTATTGCTTACATCTTCTTTTTTGCAATTTTTAAATTGTGGTGATCCTCTCAAATCAAGTAATGTAAAAATTCCATGAAAAGAGAAACACTGAAACATGTTATATCGGACGCCACTGTGCAAATAAAAAAAAAAATATATATATATATATATATATATATATATATATATATATATATATATATATATATATATATATATATATATATATATATTTAATTTCTTATTGTGTTTATAAGCAACAATGTACTTTATTCTTTTCAATAAATATAAATAATTCATGTATTTATTCATTTATATTTTTACGTTGTGTTCATTCTCCAACTATATCTTCTGTGAACTGTGAAGTCGTAGTTGTGGCATAAACCACAATCTTGTCTACAAAACAGGGCTGGGGTGTGCATCTGGAAAAATATTTCTTAATAAGACAATTTTCCTTTTAGAATGTTTCATGTGAGCTTACACTTTTAAAAAATTCTGAGCATTTCTGGAAAAGTAATTTTTGGTTATTTCAATTGAATCCAGATGGCAATAAAATATAGGTAAATTATTGTGTGAATTGATACTAGCATTTAAAGCCCGGTAGACACAATGCAATTTCTACACGTACTTTTAGTATTTTTTGCAGTAGGCACCATGCAATTTTTCCTAGCAAATTTTTTTTTTGAAATTTTGGGACAATAAACGACACTCTTTAGCGTTTGGTAATGTTAATTCTGTTACATTTAGAGCTAATTGTTTATTGACTTGTTTTATACTAGTTTTTAAATTTCTTGGTTATATTTTCGTAATAATATATTTGGGAGGCGCAACTTTCTGCAATTACTAGACTTGCGATGAAAGAATGAGCACTTTGTCTATACTTTAGGAGCATTTATTTGAATAGCATCCAAAAAGGATTTGAGTACTATTGAAATGAGTAGGTATCGATACTTTAATGGTATCGCAACATCCCTATCTGTGGTGGAGCGTTGTACGCGGCGGTTTAACCTCCGTTCGCTCCCTACAGAATCCCTTGTAATCGTCCCAAAATTTTTGAAATCGGTTTCAACTGAATGGACTTAGTGTTTTTAGTGGTTAGTGAATGTTTTAAAGTGATAGTTGTCACCGACCCCATCTTTTTTCCCCGTTCACGCCGGTATGGAGGCTGGATGGTCGTGGTGGAAGCGGGAGGATGTCGGTTTTTTTTGGTATCGGTCAAAATTGTTTTTTTGCTAGTTGAGCAAAATTTCTTCTTAGTACGTGTTGGTCAATAACCAAAAGCGAAAATCCTCGACGGAAGTCGGCAATGGGCAAATGATCCTAGCAGTTTAGCCCAACATTTTTTGTGAAACGCATAATTGAATTGCAGTCTGCTAATTTTCTTAACAACACTTTCTACATCTTAATTCCTTTTTGGGCTGAAAATTTAATGGGATTTCGACATATTTTGAGAAAATGCTGGCGTAAAATGCAGCATCCAAACATTGACGACCTGGCAGCGGCCATGTTGGCTGTTGGGAGCCGCATGGGCATATGGGTCGAACGTCAGAATTTGCAATTAGTGCTGCTATTGGTAAAAAAACGAAATGTCATATCTCGCGCATGCGCATATTTAACAGACCTTAAAATTTGGTGACATAGTTGCTTCACGAGTTCCTGTACAATTAGCATAGACAGGGCCTCTATATGGGAGATACTACTTAATCACTACAATAAAATTATCAACTTGTTAAAAGTAAATTGAGGGTGATTCAGAAAGTAATGTTTCACTGTTCTATTTATATATTATTGCACAAAATTTCTTTAGGGTTTGTTATATTTTGTTGTAAATTTTATTTTTAGGTGGATAAATCTGACCTGTCCAAAACAATATGCGAACAATGAAAAGGTTACGTACGGTGATGTTAAATTTGTTAAGTCCTTCCAGTAACTATCCTATGGCTATGCAGTAATTATTGACAGATTTTAGGTCCCCTTGTATTCTTTTATTTCTTTATCTTATTGTGTTGCCACTGTCCTTTAGTTCTGAAATTTTCTCCTCTTTCTCTTCTGTTTTCATAAACAAACAAACACGTTTAGAAACTTCCAGAAATCCATTTTGATTTTTGAATTACTGGAGTCGCTTATATTGGTCTCTGTGAATAAAGTGTTCTGTTCTTGAATGTTCTTTTTATTATGAATAATTATTTTAATATTCTATTCCTATTCATTGCCCACTGCATGGTAATGATGAATACATTATTTTTTGTGGATAAAGTCGTTACTTTCTTTTCTCTCTATAAATCAGAAATTCCAGTTATGAAAATGAAATGTTTTATTTAAATAGGATGTAAAAAATTATTTTTTAACTGCATGGTGTAACATTAATTTAAATAGTTGCTGTCTCAAAGAAGACACGTTTTCCTTGTCATTTATTTCAGATTAAAAACAAAAAAAAACTGCAAAAGTATTAAAGCAGTTTATTTCAATCATATCCGCACATACAATTAAACAATAAAACTAATCAAAACTAACACTATCATATTTCACTTTGCAAATTTTTTAAATCTGTTTTTTACAAGAAAAGTTAGTTGATGTTAAAAATAGAACTTACAGTATATTTCAAAGTTAATAAGAAAAAAAATCACAGCCTATTGTATTCATTTTTCCTGTGGTATCTGTTTAATTACTTAATAAAAACACATTGACAAAAAGGGCTGCTATTGAAAATATCAATTGCCGTAGCAGCAGTGCACTGTTCAGGCAATTGCAAAATTTTTCAAGGTAAGTTTTCTATCAACATCTAATTATAAGTTTTGAATATGTACCACACAGTCAAAAACTTTAATTTCTAATAACCATTAAAATTAGGTCATATTACACACTTAACTTGCTGCCAAACTTATTGACGATCTGTCAGCAGTGAGGTTGGTTGTTGTATGTTTGAAGATCATTTGCGAACGAGATTTTAAATCTGGCGTTGACTGGTTCTTCTCAAAATTTTGTTCCTAGCTGCTGCCTAAGTTATTATTACATAGGTATGGCCTGTGTATCTCTAGTAGCTATATGGGGCCATCCATAAATTAGTATAAGGGAAAAACACAGTCTTAAGGCTCCTGGCATATATTTATAAAAGTATTTCAGTCCATAGTGCAAACTTTAAAATGTTACTAATGTTTATTTTTGATAAAAAGTGATTTGTCTGAAGAACCAAGGACTGCAGAAAGATCACAAAATTTGTGAGTCATTTATTGCAGGTCCTTTCTACTAATTAAAAAGATTTTTTAAACTTACAAAGTTATATATTTTTTTTTATTTTATTTTTTAATATCTCACCTACTATTAAAAAATTATGTCAACATTGGCAGCAAAAAAGTTACAAAAAAAAAGCGACATGATCAAACCACTCAGATTTTATTTCATGTAACACAAATTGTAAAAAAGTTATGACAAGATACACTTATACCAAATCACCCATTAGATAACCATTTAAATACAGGGTTATCTTAAAAGATATTAACTATCTACCGGTAAAACCTCTCCATATAGAAGCTACACTAGCAACAGCACTATTCATCAGTCCACCAGCCATACTGCTAGCTTGTTGAGTATTGAGCATTTGTATTGATTGCAAAGTTGCTGGCCCAGCCGGAACCTCTGGACATTGAACATGTGGCACCTAAAATTTTATAACTGTCTTCAATAATTAATGTTAGATAAAAATGACAAATAATGAAATTATGTTTCAATTAGCAAAACTGTTTCATCAATTTTCGGCGAATTTACTTCCACTTACCGCTTCCCACTCAACTGTAAAAGAATCCCCTTCATCAGAATCAGACTCCTCACTGGTGGTCAAATTGTCGCAAAGTGATTGTTCTAGAGCACCGATTTGAAGGGGATCAACTTCAATTGGTCCCTGTCTACCAACAATCAAGAAAAAAAGAAAATTTTTACAACAGTTGGGAATAAGCACTCTGCTTTCAAAAACTATAAAGAAGTTTTACATACAGTTTTGATCATTAAAATTCATTTTCAAAATATCTTGGACCAATTGCATAAAACAAATACAAACCTTCCCAGATCTGACGACTCATTCTGTATTAGTTGTAGAATATTATGTATTGTCCCACTTGGATGTAATGAACTGATATCTATATTTTGCGATATACACAAGTAAAGAATATTGGAATTTAGCCTCGCCACCCTTCGCGTAAACTGTTGTTCATTCATGTCAATATTACAAAAGTCACTGAAAATAATTGATAAAACTATAAATTTAGGACCACTAATTTCTAATGGTCCCTCGTGATATTTTTTGGAAAAAGAAACTATCCAATATGTGGACAATGTAATTAAAGTTATTTTTTAATTTTTTATTTAAAAGCTTAAAGAATTAAAACAATTTTTATATTTAAAAAGTTACCATATAATACTGACCTACAGGACCTCCCTACTTACAGAGATATTGACCTCTAGAAGAAGAGGTGTCCAGGAAAAATATTTTGCATTTTACTGACCAAGTTTTATCTTATTCCTCCCTTGGCCAAATAAAGACCTAAATATATTCAAGGATATTTTTTAGATCCTTATTCAGATCTACCAAAATTTTTAATAAATATTATGCACTACATTGAGTCATACAAAAAGAATCAAAAACCATTCAAAACTTGCAGATGTGTCTTTTGGAGCCCCATATCTCTGTAGAGAAGGCCTTAGAAAACTTAGGAACTTGTTATCTTTTTCCTTATTACCTAAATCTACCTATTGCCTGAATCAATACATACCCATATGATAACTTGTGTGGAAGCCTAATGTTAAGAAAAAATGATAATACATTAACCAATTGTGCAGTGTATGTTAAAGCGGCACTAATACTGAAAGCGGGATTTTGCTCTACTGGGACGGCCGTGTTTGAACTGGGAACTCCATCAGGATTCTGAGCAACTGAAATATGTCAAAGGATTGATTAGATACCACATTATATATCATTTTCACATACCCCATATGTTATAAGATGAGTAGTTTCCTGACCCAGGAATACAGGGGGCAACAATGGAATATTTCATTTCACTAGAATAATCTGTGTATATCCATTTATTACTGATGTAAGTGGTTTGGGTTGCTTCCGCCAACTCCTGCACCATGTTATCAGCACTAGATTCCAATTCACTAAAAAGTTTTGTTCATTTTTGTAAAATTGTAAAATTTTGTAAAAATGATATAAAAACTAAAACTTACACCACAGGTTTTACAGTGGTTATAGGAAAAACATATTTAAACAGCTGTTCAACCCTCTTCCTAACCAATTTTTTTAAATCATCTTGTTTTTTATTTAGTTTTTCTTGAACTGCAGTAACATCTTCACACTTCCTTAAAACACAATCTTCTATGGCTTCACTTTTTGTTTTGTATGCTTTTAGTTTTTCATTCCTTTCATGATTTTTTTCCTTCAAGCCTGTGAGCATTGTTGCATAAACTGCTCTTTTTTGTCGTTTTTCTTCCAAAGCCAAACGGATTATAGTATTGAGCTCTTTACTTTGTCTGATTTTGGTATGCTAATAAAAGAAAGACTTTTTAGTATCCAAACAAAAGTTATAAACTTTAATGTTTGTATATGTGGGCTTCTAGTAATGTTGAGTTACTAAATAACTGTTTTTCTCTTTAAATATACCACTCACCAGGATATCATGCTTTTCTTTTTTGTCCAAATATTTCTGACAATTTTTCTCAATATTTTGCTTATTATCTTCCAATTCAGAAAGAACTTTTTGGATATTTAAATAACTAGAACAATGGAAAGGTAGTGAAATAGTTCACAGGTCTTACCTAAACGGCAAAACTGCTATTTTCCAGTTTTGAGAGCTATTGTATTAACGCACTTTCTATTACCTTTCATGAGTTCTTGCACTACAAATATGACCACTGTGCACACAATTCTTACAATAAAAGGATTTTCTAAATCTTAAACATAGAGAGCATCTATGTACATTGGGGCTGTCTCCTGAAGAAGATAAATGGAACAATTTGGGGGCTGTGTTGCAGCTGCTTTCTTCTGATGTACTAGCCATAACAATCACAAATTTTCTAGTCAGAATTTAAACATTCAATATTTTGTGTCCATCTATCTTTTTATAAAACGGTACACAAAATTTCTTGGAAATGTTGCCGTTTTTGCTATAAACCATAAGCAATAGTTGGGGAAGTACCTACAATCGAAATTCGAAACTGAACACTAGCAAAGATGTTTTTAAGGTTTCTTATTGTCAAATCAATGATTATTTTGGATAATTCTAAAGCTTTATTTCAAAGTCATGATTTTAATTTTGACTTTTTGGATGACAAAATACTAAATAAAGGCATAGACTAAAAAAGAAGAAATATTCATGGGCGGTCAATTGCCCGTGGCCGGAATCCGTTCAACCACACTTTTTGACAGTACGGCAAATTCATTGAATGATAACCAACGCCCTAGTGACGTCACTTGACAAATCCGAAGCTAGTCTCCAGTGTTGTAGGATCATATTTCTTTAATTTTGATTCTGTTCCATCATCTATTTGGAAACCTAAGAGTTCTACAATATGCATTTTGCGAGAAAAACCGGTATGCGAAAAAATACGATTAATTAAAAATCTTACAAAAATATCTTACTTACCTGTTGTAAACACCTGTAAAAGGGTATTACAAATTAAATTTTACACTGTTGTTTACTGTCAACGTTACTCAAGTTATTATTAGCAGAAACGCAATCGGATGGAGATGTATTTTTTCTGTATAAAAGTCATGGTATATCAAACAAATAATTTATATTTATACTAAATAATGCTCATTAAAAGCAAAACATCTACAACAGAGCTGTTGTTATTGAATCAAATTTTCTTTTTAAAACATTTAAGTATGAAAATTTACTACATACTTTAAACATGTTCTACTGAAGAAAAATCTTTATAATGGACCTCCATTGTTAATGATAGATATTTCAAGTTCATCTAAGGGCCTTCGCTTCCATCGGTTTGGTATTTGAAAATCATAAATAGGTTCCTCTTGTTTATTGTCCTGTAAACTTTGTGACACCGATCCATGCGATTTTGATGATCCACTTTTAATTTGCACGGCATTGATCCCATGCCGGAACTTAATTAATCGGTGTCCCAGTTTTGAGGTTAGGGATATTTTTCTTGTTGAAACATTCGCGAACATGGTTTGTTATAATTTAATAAACTGAAACAAAATTAGCGAAAATCATTAGTTACAAATAAATAAACCACTGCTTTCCAATACTTTTCTGCCACTGTTTTTAAACGTTACGTCACTGCTTATTTTATGCCATTGCTCCATAGAAAAAAACACTCTAATTCTTTCTGCTTTAAAACCGCAGAATATTTGTTCCAAAGTTAGGATCATTGGTGTTCTGTGTGTTACAAAGACCAAAGAAGCTTGATATTCTAACTGCACTTCACTTAAAAAAAAACACTATTCGAAACAGTATCTGTCTTGAATAGTAATTAAGGAAATGGGGTTTTGACAATTTTTTTTTTTTTTTGGCCTGTAGGAAGTTTATAATATTCGTTCAGTATCCATAAAAAAATAGATGCAAATAACTAGAAAATTAAGGTATATTGGATGTTTTTTATTTATAACTATTCTGAGTAGTCCAAACAACCAAATTGAATCGAAAGTTTAAAACAAGTTTTTTCTTTTTGAAAGGCAACCTTAAAAAACATAGAACGGCTTTAAAACGAAATTATCAAAAATTTTCCAGAATACCTAAAATATGTCCAAATAACCAAAAACCAAATTGAATCGAAAGTTTAAAACAAGTTTTTTCTTTTTGAAAGGCAACCTTAAAAAACATAGAACGGCTTTAAAACGAAATTATCAAAAATTTTCCAGAATACCTAAAATATGTGTTCACATTGTTGCACCGGCATGGGTTAGTTATTGTTTAAATTTGCGCTGAATGTTTTTGCAGCTGTATGTTGCATCTGACATTAAGCAGCAGGTATGCAGTCCATATTATACACATCTCATATGCTAATAAGCAAACCTATAAAAATATTAATTATTCAACATAATATTATGTTAATAGGATGCCATAATTTAACTGCAATATGTATTTAAAATTTCTACTAATATGCTACATAATTTGTATTAGTGACTAGTTCTATTCGCGTACTGCCAATATATAGTCACGATCTTTGTCTTAATAACATGGTATATAACAGTTCCGCAATGAAATATTATTTAGTATTCCTTGTAAGTAGTAAATTTATTTAATACGTGTTTTGGACTCGTCGTTAATTTTTTAATTTGGACCCGCGATTTCAGATTACTAATATTAATTCAATTTAACGTTATCTGGTTCAGTGGTATTGTTTTTTTTCTATGATATTTAACTGTTTTTGTTTTTTTTGGAAATTTCATCTATATCTTAGAGACATTCGAAATTTCTTTTTGTACATACCACGTTTTCCATGCCAAACTGTGTACAGCACAGCATTTAACATGTGAAACTATACATATCAAGATTGAATTTATTTGAACATTTTAAAAATATTTATTTTTAGTGTGCGTGGTCGTCATTGCTGTCTATGTCCACTGAACAAATACTTAACATTGAAGAGCCAGCCAGTTATGCCCCGCAAACAGTGCCACTAAGTAATGCAAAAGTTGCAAGAAATATTCTGGGATACGATAATTTTCGTAGATTGCCAATAAATCTGAAGAATAGACAGATGCGTTACCCTTGGCTATAACAATGCACACTCGGTATTTTGCATAATTAGGTAGATACTCTACATAGTTGTATGATATAAATACTTGAAACGCAATTTGTTTTCTATTTCGAGTAATAATACTGTTAAACTGTAATAAGCTATTTCGATATTTTAAAGAGTTTAATTATGCCTACTTCCAGAATTATAAACAAAAATATAAATTTATACAAAAAAATGTTTTTTTTGTCACACATACCTTGGCTTGTAAAAGTTTATTTGCATCTGACATTCGCATTAAATGCAAATGTAAATAAATAAAAACAAAACCATCTATAGTTACAAAACGTAAGAGATTTTTAATTCCTCAGTCCTTATACTCATTTAATTTGGTAATAGTCAATGAGCTGTAGTCGATATTGACGCATTTTTCAATATTTTCTAAATCAACATTTTCCATCGATAGAAAAGGCACAATTTTAATTTGGGGAATTTTTACCTTTCGTTTGTGAAAAAATTTACGGCAGGTAATAGCAACTATTAGCAACTCCTAAGAATAACTTTTGCAGAATCTTGAGCAAATTATATGAATAGTCTACAATTTGCTTTCAAAGAACGCACTAAATGCTACAGTTCTTGATTTTGCTCTGGACTTTAACCATAGTTTATCTAAAGCCCTTATAGCTTCATGGTTTTAAAAACAAATTTTCAAACCTGTGGTCCGTGCCTTCCCCTTTAAATCTTTTATCTATGGTCCGTGCACATAAATATATGGCAACCATCCGACGTTGTCACTTTCATTTTAGGAATTACTTTATTGTTGGTAGTGTTTAAGATTTAATCAAAAATGAGCCTCAAATCCGAAAAAGACAAAACGAAGCAGTTAAACGAAAAATGCCAGTCTGTGTTAAATGCGTTATTAAGGGACGAAGATAATAAATATTGTGTCGACTGCGATTCCAAAGGCGAGTACCACTTTTAATCGATGTTTAGATCTTAATTATAAATTTGGTGATTGGCAAATAATAGTTAAATAGCGCAATTAAAGTTAGTTTTTAGAAAGCCCTAACGAAAGTATATTATAATTTTAAAATTAGTTGTTTACTAGGCACAACCAAGCTGAATTAACTAATTTAAAAGATTTCTTTAGGACCAAGATGGGCTTCATGGAACATAGGCGTTTTTCTCTGCATTCGTTGTGCTGGTATTCACAGAAATCTTGGGGTGCATATTTCAAAGGTAAAGTCAGTCAATTTAGATGCCTGGACACCTGAGCAAGTTGTTTCTTTGCAACAAATGGGAAATTCCCGAGCCAGAGCAGTTTATGAAGCAAATTTGCCAGATAATTTTAGAAGGTTTGTAGCAAGTAATGCAGGTAGCGTTTATTAGTTTGAAGTTTGTCAGATTTTCTTATAACACGAAGTTAGCTCTTTTTGTTACACTTATGGGAGTAACACTTTACTATTTTCTTTAAATAGCAATATAACAACATTGCAACAAGACAAAGTATATAATTGCAGGTTTTTTCGTGTTTTTAGACCTCAGAGTGATTTAAATCTTGAGTCGTTCATTCGTGCCAAATATGAGCACAAAAAGTACATAGCCCGGGAGTGGGTGCAGCCACCATTGCCTAAAGTAAATTGGGAGAAAGAAATCGAAGAGGAAATGGAGAAACAAAAAAGAAAAAAGAAAACTATGTTAGAGAAGAAACCACTGGCTAATGTTGAGGTGCCTCAATTGCCAAAACCTACAAATCCCAGTCCCAAACCTGCAAGGTCTATTAGTAGTACCCCTGAAGTGAAAGAGAAGAAAAATAATAACGACCTGCTAGGTAATTAATCAAATCACTAAAAATGTGTTTGGATAATAAGAAAATTTGATAAAATATACTTTTAAAAATGTTTTTTAGGAATACAGAATGGTGAAGATTCTTTTAGTGGATTTATTTCAGCTAGTACCACAAACAATCTTACTGAAGATCCCAAAAAGGATGATGGTGTTGGCAGTAAAAGTGAGGAGGAAAGTTTTTTCAATCAACCTATGCCCGCTGAAAAGGAAAAAGTTAAATTAGACAAGGTAATTTTCTTCCTTTTTTCTGTTTCTTCAGGATATTATCTGCCCAATTTGGATTTGCAAATATTTATGATACTGTAATATTTTAGGATAGTATTTTGGCCCTATATGGAAGTGCTCCAACAATCCAGCAATCAAGTTTTGCTCAGTTCTCCAATATGGTCCCGCAAATACCTTATGCTCAAACTGCTCCTAGCAGCTTTTCAGTTCCACAGAATTTCCAAGGATATTCTGTATTCCCTCAGGGACAGCAGCCTCTGGCATTTGCTGGGCAAAATGGTGTGCCATCCAATCAAAGTCAATTTGGCACAAACCAATGGGTCACGGGCACCCAGCAATGGAATAAACCAGCTGCCCAATTTCCGGCACCAAATCAGGCAAGCCCAATTTTTGTATTATAATATTTTTTGCATTATACTGTCTAGTATTATTAGTATACATATATCAAATACATCATCAGTAATAAGTTAAAATTTTAGGTGCAAATGTTACCCAATCAGTTTCCGGTTAACCATTTGCAAAATGGTCAGTCATCAACCCAGTTTCCTACTGCTTTTCCAGTTACTAATACACAAGTTTCAATGGCACAAAACCAGTTTGCCCAGCCACAATTTCCACAGGCAAGCGGTAACTCTGCTTCATTTGGTCAAATTTCAAACTCCTTTGGTAGCCAAACTTCAGGTTTGCCACAACAGTTCAGTAATTTATCCTTAAATAATACGGCAACAGCCAATATGGCTCCTACCTTAGCAACAAATATATGGCAGTAGCAATGTTGTATCAAATGTTTTATGTAATTTTTGTATTTTATTTGGTGGTGCACAAGAAAGACATCTCTTTACAAAGTTTCAAGCTGTAGGAATATCTTTCTGTATAGAATATGATGACAAATAAACTTTAGATATGGGAACATAACCTTGCATACCATTTTCGATATTGACATTAAAATGATTGAACAACAGGTGAATTGCTATTTGATCACCAATTAGAAGAACAACTAGTTTGTGTTCATATACCTATAAAGGCGACATAAAAACTAGATAAGGTGCTAGTTTATTGCACTCATTTTTCACTTGTACTATAAATTCGATCTGATCATTTTGACAAAAAATCTTTCCATGCTTCTCACTTTATTATCTGTGTCTATTTTCCCATAGTTGTAAATGTGAGAGGAGTTCTCTTGTGCATTGTCAGTGTATTAGAAATATTATATTATAAATTGAGATTAATATCTTGCGGTAAATCGAGAAACATCTTGCCAGTGATGTGAAATTATTTGAATGAATTATAGTTCAGTGCGTTTTTTTTATACAAAAAGGAAAAAAAAAAAGAAAAAGGAAAATAAAAAGTTTTAGACTATACACATCATGCCACTACATTCAATTTAGTTAATGATTTGTACAAGACTTTAAAAAATTTGCCTTTTTCTTTTAAACTTGAGATTTTATATTTTTATTTTCCTATTGTAAACACAAATAATACTTTCTAAAGTACTGAAGACTAGTACAGTTGTTGGTGAGCCAGAACTGTGAATAATTAGAAAAAGCAAAGTTGTACTCAGATGGTATAGAACAATAGGCTGGAGTACTAAATCTTGATTTTTGATGTTATTAATCGATTTTTGCTGAAAAAGTACAATACATATTCCATAAAATGTGATTTTCAAATGCGTTTGTTTCATTTTAAGTTGCAATATTTGGTTTCTTCTGATATTCATTGTTCCTTTAAAGTAGATATTTCATAAATTGTGGGCTGGAGATGGTTCCATTTTCTTTTTTAAAAAAGTGCAATTGAATGGAACAAAAAAGGTAACTATTGCCGAAGAAACCATTTTCCTACTATTAAAAGGTGCAAATGCTTAATCCTTAATCGTGTAACGAATTTTTATTATACATGTATTAGTAGTGAATCATTTAAGAGTATTATTTATTTAGGTATTAAAAAAAAACAAATTTCATACTTTTAGTGCAGATTTATTTGGAATAATTCTGTATGTGGTTAATGTCACAAATAAAAATGTATGTATACCAAAGTTGTTATTTGTTTTTTGTATGACAAGCATATCTTTATCTTTATAGGTATAACAAATCACTATAGTCACGAAAGCATTAAAAAGAATTAAACTATATATTTAGTGAACATCCAATCTCTGCAAACATCAATAATTTTTTGTTAGTAATGCAGAGGCCTGAAAAATTTTGATTTTAGTTACCATAGCTTTAGCCTCAATTGTAATTATATTTCTGGTCCACAAGTTTTTAGTGTATTTCTTATGACTTTTTAAAAATATAATTGGATGGTTAGCTGTGGTAACTTTGGCAAATATGTCTACATTGTTCGAATACACTACATGGGCAGTTTTTTGCAGCGTTTCCCTTCTGACCAAAATGCTTCACTAGTACTATTCTTGAAATATAATTGCCATAGCCCTGGCAAATTTTGAATTAATTTTCCTTACTTACGGGGAAATTGTGGGGTTCCGCTTTGTAAACACATAAATGATTCTTTGAAGTTTGGCATATTAACTGTACTTTTAAGGAAACTATGCATTGTCTGAAAAGTACTTGCCAGTTTTTGTTTTGTACATTTGACCTGCTTTTTTTTTAACTGAAACTACATCAGTGATCACACCACATATATTTTCAAAATTATTACTTCCTAAAAAGTATAACAACTGTGAGTTAACCAAATTGTTGCAGTAATACAAATACCTTACATTATTGAGCAAAAAACAGCTTTTGAGATACATTTTCGCTAGAAAAAGATATTTAAATATTTTTAATAATATATTTTTTGCTGAATCATGCACTTTGATTTCAATTTTTATAAAAGTAATGCCAATAAAGGTATTGCAGTTAGACTCCGAAAAACTATCAAGCAACTGTCGTAATCTTCCGTTGTTCATTTATTATAAAAATGTAAGCCCCATTTAGCCTAGATAAGGCACAAACTCCTCTAAGAAAACTAATGTGTGTCCCTTCAAAAGCTTTGCACCAAACAAGATGGTTCTCTATTTTCACTATTGATCTGAGCCTATGAAATTTCATCCATACAATTTTTCTAAAATCGTTGTCGGCGCATCAGCATGATACTTAGAAATCTTTCTCAATAGTGCGAATTTTTTCATTATGCCTTTAGACGATTCCATATCATATAGTGTGCAAAGATTTAAAATTAGTGATTCGTGAAGTCCTTGCATATGGTTTGATGCTATGGCTGATTCTAATACAGCTATAGCCTCTTTAAGGCGACCCCCGTAGAGCAGACAGACACCCATATTATTTAGTATCTAATAGAAAACCAAATGATGAATATTATGAATTTCAACAGGTAAATTCTCACCATCACATTAGACGGTTCAAAGTTGCTAGCCTGTTGGAAGCAGGTATAGGCTTCATCAAAATTATTTTGAGCAATAGCTAAAAGTCCTTTGTCTACTATGTCGCGCACTCCCATTGGACCGCCTATTTGTGACGCTTCATTAAAGCATACTTCTGCACCTGCAATGTCCCCAATCTGTAGATGTAGTCTACCAAGGGCTGAGAGCAGGGTATGTTTTGGAGCTCCCTCCCTGCAAAGTAATGAGCAATGAAACAAATATTTTTAATCGAACATGTGCAACAAAACAATCAGGTAAATATAAAAAGTAAATTTTTGTTAAAAACTGACAGTTTTTTATTTGGAAACAAAGTTTTAAAAAGGTACCATATCTACCTTTGACATAACTGTCCTAATAATTCCATAGCCAACTCGTAATCCTTAATCGCAATTGCGCAATTAATAACAGAATGTATAACTCTTGTTTCTCTTCCCGACCACAATCTAATCGAGTCCATCTGATCTTCTTCACTAATTTCCATTGGATTTCCATCCTCGCAAAACTTTTTTCTCAGGTTGGACAACATTTTTTGGATAGTTGCTAACAAACTAAATAATTTTGTTAAGGATTCTTTTGGTTTTCCACAATGTAATGGAAGTTCGGCCAACAAAAGACGAAAAGAAAATGACGCTATTGACCCAGAACGTCCACTATACATATCTGGATAAAACTACAAAAGTTAAAGCTTTAAAAAGTGATGTGCCAACAACATTCAATACCTGATAAAATACGTCGGGTTTATCAAGCTGCCCAAAAGGCTCAGCTTCAGCTTGAGCAATGTTAAAAGCCTTGGATTTTACTAACAAAGCAATTCGAGTAAACCACAGCTGTAAGGAGTGAGGTGAATGTTTTGTGGGATGTCCCGCTCTTCCTCTGCCTTGTCCATAGATGGATAAAAGCTTCCCAGTCAAATTTATGGCAGCTCTAATTAAATAAAAAAGATTGTGGTCTAGTAATAAAATATTAATAGATGTTTTTAAAATAACAGTGCTTTTTCATTATGTAAAAAAATTTAGCAAATTTTCGTTTTTTTTTTACTTTTGGAACACTTCATATTTGTCCATGTAGATAGAGAAAGTAAGAGAAACAGAATGGTAAACACTCTCAATAAAAACATTTTTTAAATTATCTTGAATGCTTCCTTAGAGATATAAAATTCAATAAGCAATTAGATTGGTTATAAATACCTGTAAGCTCCCATTTGCACCAATTCCCTCAAACCTGCTTCATCTTGTGTGACATCATTTGCACCCAAAGTTCTCCTTTGAGCTGCTTCAGCTTCTCCTAGACATAGGCTTACTGCTTCCCCTATAGCATCTCCAAGTTCTTCTTCAAGTAGTATACCCGGCAAGGTTAAGGTATTTAGATCTGGTACATAAGTACCAGGAGCTGCAGTAGCTACAGCAATGAGAACCTGACGTGTCCTTTCACTTGGAATCCAAGCATCCCTACGACGATCTGTTTCTGAACCAGATGTAACTCTCGGTATAATTGTATCCTAAAATTGACAGAGTTAGGTAAATGTACAAATAGCAAAAGCCATCATACATCAATCCGTGTATGGAGTTCCAAATCTGTAATAATTCCACTTGTGCTAGGCTTCTTTCTATCGGTTCCAATAAGATCAAAAAATGCAGCTGTAGGATCTTTCCGTTCTACAGGAACTTCAGCAAAAATTCTACAAACCTCTGGTTCGCTCTCCGCACCCTCGTCTAATTTTAAATTATTAATTTTGTCTGACGTTTGGCATACCTCTTTTGTAAAATCATTCTTTTCAATTTCAGAATCATTCGATCCAAAGTACTGGTCCAGTGAAGGACCATGATTTTCCATTTTTGGTACGATAAAACACTTCAAGCGTTTTAATAAATTTCTTTTACACAAATCCAAAAATACTTTGGACCTCAATGACCATAAAGAACAAGTTGGGTTATAATTGTCGAATAAAGATTAACCTACACTACGAACTGCGAATGCCGTGTAGACTACCCCAGAGGTGAATGCGTGATAAATACTATGATTTCCATTATTTAATAAGTTTGTAATGTTATGGCTAATTTTAACCTTACAACCATGGAAACGGTTTTTGAACACAAAGCAGTCATAGGATTTCAACTATGGGCCCATCGCCCATCACATTCGCGCGTATTAGGTAATCTCGTATGTAGATTATTTATTATTATTAGATGTCATTTCAAATCTCGTTGTTTATCAATAAGAACAAACGGCGTTCAACGAACATGACCGCTGACAGTTTGGGAATTCTACAATTTTCACTTCTTATGTTCCAGTTTTCCGGCAGTATTTTTTCAAAATATGCTCATATCTCGCCAAGTGTGCAGAGATAAACGAAAGTGGGTTGCAAGGAAGGTCATTCCCTTCTCTACGAAAACATCTTAGCTACATAAAGCGCAGTAACTTACCATCATTATTGTATAAAGGCTATACAATCTATACATATAACAAAAGTCAATCAATTTAGTTTTCGCCATATGGTTATCAGTGGCCCTACTACGGTAAAAATTAATGGGCCGTAGGATATTTTCGTAGGGAAGGTCATGTGATTTTCCGTGCTTGTCTCCTCTACATTTCTACTAACCTGCACTTTGTGCCATTTTGTTTCTAAACAACTTTTCCCCAGATCATTTAACGAGATGTAGGCATATTTGGAGATAATACTGCAGGAAAAATGTCGTTTCCAAACTTATGGACGATATGTGAGTGGCCATGTTGGTTATCGAATGCCTCACGATTATTGGTTAAGAAACGAGATTTTAAATCTCGCGCATGCGCATGTCGAATGGACCTTTTCATTTTTTTATAGTCACCTGTAGTATTGGCATAGACAGGGTCTCTATATCTTTAGAAGCTATATGGTTTTCTCACACAAGATGTAAAATTCCTCATTTTCAGATGTCGTTTCGAGTGCGTTTTAACGATACTTTTTACAGCAGTCGTAGAGAAAATTTCGTGTGTTTCCTCAAAGCAATTTTTAAAAATACTTTAAGAAAAGCTTTTTAATATCGAATAGAGAAATTAACTTTTTCTTTGAATATTCAATTTTTTGGCTACCTACGCCCACAACACTACTTTTATGCAAATTCCTGGTTATATCGGAGTAATATAGGCGTTTGGCAACGCTGTGAAGCTCTCTTGCATTTGGTGTCATTTATTTCGTGCCTGTTTCTAAATCGCATAGAATTTTAAACATTTATGAGTTGAGCAACTCTTTGCTGGGCTTTAAATGAGAGAGAACTCACGCGAGACTCGTGGAGACAAACTTGGATACACTGATAACTCGCAACTAACCAAATTAAAGTAGTAAAGTAATAATTTTTCAAATTTTTCCTTATATTCCTAAACATATGGACGTCCTGTAAACATGTTGGTTTAAAGGTTATCGTTTCATTGCATTTGATACGAAATAAACGGACTTTTGGAAATTCCTGACTCCTCGACTTCTTTTGTATATTATCTGCTAAACGCCATTGCTGCACATTTCTTAAAATGGTTGCAAAAAGTTTGGTACTTCTGGCTGTTTTTCTCTCTGCCTCCTTCTCTGCTACGTGCCCAAATGCAGACACGCGGATACACATGAATGAAACGGTCGTAAGTTTTTATTTGTTGCGACTTTCCTTAACAAAAGTTTTTCGTGAACATGTTTAAAGCAAATTTAAAAAATGAATGTGGAAGAATGTAGTAAATAAGTTACTTTTATAAGTTAATTTATAAAAATAAACACATCTGCCACATCTCTCATCCGATGTGAGTAAAAGAGAATTTTTTGCTTGTTACAGAAACAATTTTAAGACTAATACAGTAGATATTATGGGGGCCGATAATAATGCGAATCTGATGCGCCTTATGCCCTCTCTTATTACATTTTCGTGATTGCACCTAATTTTGACACACCAACATGCTTTTTCGTAAAATTCTTTCTAAACAGCGATCTCCACACTCTTAATTCGATTTTCTCTCAAAATTTAATGGGATATGGGCATATTTGTGTCACTTCCCAACACAATACTGTTTTATTCATGAACTGTCAGTGGTAATGTTGATTGTTGGACGTCTCAAAGTCTTATAGGTTGTTTGAATTGGCAGGTATTATCGGTTGAAAGTAGTTCTGACTCGCGCATGCACATATTTGTCTAGGCGATAAATTTTCTGAAGTTTTATTACGAAATTTTCCACATCGCTACACATACAGGGTGTCCAAATAGTGTGTTAAAATAACATATTTAATCTATTATTTGTTTTAGAAAAAAATGGAAAATACAAAAGTTATAGATAACACTAAAAGAAACAATTTTACCAAACTTTTTTTATATGGAACACCATATATATTATATTTATACTCACCAAATGTAGGGTTGTTATGGTCTGTACCTAGTGTTTTCGGATTTATGGCTATTGCCCTGTGTGTAACACTATATTTTTGATGCCATTTCCCACAGCTGTAATTTTATTTTACCAACAATTTATACAGGGTGAGTCACTATGAAAAAATATTAATACGATGCATGCATAAGTGATTATCAAATTAGATCAACATTTTGTGAATGGGCACAAAAACGAATTTTTGAGCAAGATGATTTGTTCGATTAGGTTTTATTTACGGACGAATCAACATTCCATAAAAACGGTTGTTAGGCATAATTTTCACTATTATGCTATCAATAGATATTATTTTATGATGACACATAGTCAGGTGGCTTTTAATGTTTGGGGTGATATAATACTAACCTTGTAGGGATTCATTTTTTAAAAAATACAGGGAATGAGCAAGTTTACTTAGAGGTTGAGAGAGAGATGAGAATTATTCCAAACGAAGTGACGCAAAGAATGTTACGAACTACTTAAATGATTTACTTCCTCAACGGTAGATAGGAAGAGGTGATCGGATTAGATGGTCACCTAGATCTTGCAACTCAATCATGATCTATTTTCTGTCAAGATATGTTAAAGACCAGGTGTATAAAACTGCCCCTATAACAAGGAGGAGGACAGGAAACAGAGAATAAGAGAAATCTTTCAAGGGTGTTAGTCATAAAATAATAATAATACCTAATAGTCTGCAATGAGGATTGGATTACAAATTATACATAATACAATATACAGTATACAATACTAAAATCTCGAAGAGCAAATTCTAGCCGACTAAGTAAGCTACTCAACATTAACCCAACAGAATTAATCTATATATTATACACCTTTTTGACAATATAATTTGTAACAAGAGAACCCGTAGTAAAGAAAAATAAAATATAAACAAAAGAAAACGGAAGTAAGTAATTATAGAAATAATTCTGTGAATAATTCAAATACGAAAAACCCAATCAGCATTTTATTTATCTAATAACACGCCTATAATGTTCTTTCTGCTTCGACCTCATCAAAATGGAAAGGAAGCTGGCTATCGTCAGAATATGACTGAGATTGGCAAAACTGCGGCGCGGTACTCAAATCAAACATATACAGTAAAAATAATGGCTGCCCCAAGATTGATCCTTGAGGCACTCCTGATATCACTTCACCAACTTGCGACACACCAGCTGTCGTCCTAACAACTTGTCTTCAATTTTGCAAGTAGTTACAAAAGAAGTGGACCGTCAGAAAGTCCAAAGTATTGCAATTTAGCGCATAAAAGTGAATGATCCACGCAATTAAAAGCAAGAGAAAAGTCGATCTGTCACATTTAAAAAAAAATGTTGCAGTAATGTGTCCCGGACGGAAACCCGATTGCAAAACAAATCCATAGAGCTGTAAGTAGACAACCTTTTCGAAAACCTTGCTCAACACAGGTAGTAAGCTAAGCCTTAGACCATTAAGCGATTCAGGAGAACTTACTTTAGGAATGAGACACACAACAGCTGTCTTCCAGCAGGCTGGAAAGTAAGCATTCTCGAGACATAAATTTAGTATGTGGGTTATATGGTTAAGTAGTATGGGTAAACTCATCGAGGATAATGCAAAATTGCGAATGTATCTCAATTTGAAACTCAGTTTATACTTTTGAAGTGCTCTATCCCGCTTTAGAAATATTTCCCTAAGACTGTCTGTAAGGAGCATGAGAGTTTTTAACCAATTTCGTAGTAAAAAACTCAATGTAATAGAGTTCGTTCCCTTTAATTCTGTTCATATTATAATAGAAAGGTGGGTTGTCGGAATGCTTGTAGCATCTGTAAGCGTACATTCTTTGTTTTCAGCTTTTAACTGTATGAGCGAGTTCGCAAAATTCCAAATTGTGATCAGAAATTAAATCCGTATTCCATATGCCATGACCTTTCACCTTATGAAAATAGGACCCAGAAGAGTCGCGTGGTTGGCTCATTCATTATCTGTGAAATATTATTACAGTCAAAACAGCTTCCAATAGGATTTGAAGGACCCAATAAGTTCACATTTACATCATCGACAATAACTGTGCAGTCAAATGTTGGTGTAACTTCAGATAATACAGTGTATGATACTAGTTTACGGATTCCCTTACAGAAAACCCCGTGGGTGAACGATATACAAGTCCACCATTACAGGGAATTTTTTAATACTAAAATTGATCAACAAACTTGAACAGAATATTTTGAAGCTTTTATATCACTACGAACATAAATATCTAGGCCAGCTCTAGCTCGATGTATACGGTCTTTCGTAATTAAATTATTATCCTTAATTTTGACTAACAACGAATCAATATGTGGCTTTACACAAGTTTTCGTCATGCAGACTATATGAAAATCGTTAGCAACAAGATTAACACTTATTTGCGAGTAGTAGCGTAAAGAAGAGTTTATTCATTCTGCACGCTGTACAAGATCATTGACGTGTCCTAAATCCTTAGTGCTAGTAGCGCGATCCCCATCATTTTTCCTGATAAAAACAAGTCCATCGTTGCCCCACACGTATTTGTAGCCTTTGGTTGCTTTACACAACTTTCCTTGTGTGCTGGGACTAAACGACCTATTTCTTTTCTGAGGTGGAAAAATTATGTAGTCAGGTTTTTCTCTTTGAAGCTAATAAAAGTCGATGGTCGTCTAGTCCTAGACCTGATAATTTTTAGATTTTCAATACTATCTTCGGTTATGCGATTATTTACATGCTTTATTACTTTTGAGGTTTCCTCCTTAATCGTTGTGTCGTCTTCTCCAAACGATGATGCAGTCTTCCTCCTACATACGCTACATACGCAAATTTCATTTGCTTCAGCTATCACTCGCTATCCTCGCGATTATTGCCCGATCGTTTAAAGACCGTGTTAGAGCGTGCAACTTAATTAAACTGTTCTTTTTATTTTGCATGTTTTAAGTGTTTATCTATCTATAACTTTTGTATTTAACATTTTCCTCTAGAACAGCCTGCATATCTCTCTCTTTTTAAATACAAGCGAATTATAAAAACATTTCCCCGTTTTAAATGTTGCACATTACGCCCTTAATGAATTCATTAGATTTTGTTTTCATCTAAACAGGTTATAATATGCTTGCACATATTAAAATAGCTTTCTTTGAATTTCTTATTTAGCGACCCAACTAAAATTTTACGGTTTTGATGTAGAATGCTTGGGCAGAAAAACTGCTAATGAGTTATACTTAAATATCATATCTAAAAGCTCAGGCAATTTTTAAGCTTTATATCACAATTGGAAATTGAAATTTTTGATAATAAATGTTCTTGTCCGATTTATAGCAATCGGCTGAACAACTTCGACTTGCTGGAGCTGTCGAACTTCTGACCCGTCTTGAAAATTGTATGAGTTGCTGCAGTTTGTGGAGTAAGTTTATTAGTATAATAATCGTAGGATGAAAGGCAAGTTCTCAAAGTTTTAATTTAATAGCTGTTTTAATTACTTGCTCAAATTTGTAAACAATAGAATATACACAAAGACGTTTTGGGTGGTTGGTTTTTGTATCTTTCTTTTTTTCGAATATATGCGTGTGTATGAAAAACAATAGCAAAAAAACAATACATACCTGAAAGAGGGAGGTTCTTATTAATTTCAATCATTCTATGATTTTTAATGGATTTATTTAAATAAAAATTTATCAGTATGTATAATTAAAATTTTATTTTATACTCTATAGAAATTTAACCTTAATTCCCGTTATCCTGTTATTTATAATTATTATTTCCGGGTTTAGAATCAAGAGATACGGAATCTCGAAACAGATATTATGTATCTAATGGTAAAACCAATTTCTTCCAAGCTCTCGTAGACTGTAAAAGCATTGGAATGGAATTAGTAAGCATTCAAACCCCAGAAGAAGAAGAATTGATAATAAATGCCATTAAAGCAAAAAAACCTGTCGGTAAGTATTTCTTGACGAAGTATGTCGAGTATTAACGCTTTTCGTTTTTGTAGGAGGTCCTTATAACGGGTACTGGACTTCCGGTACCAAACTAACCGATATCCAAAGCACCCACTTCTATTGGTTGTCTACGGGAACGAGGGTCGTCCATTCCAATTTTGCGAAAGGTCAACCCGACAACGCCGGAAAATCGGAGCACTGTTTGCAACTCTTTTTCGACTCAAACGGCAACGCTGCTTATTGGAACGATATTAATTGTAAAACAGATCTGAGTTTTGTTTGTCAAAAGGTTGAGTGTAACACGAAGAGCGAAAACTGCCAACCAATGGCAGTCTAAAATACTTCTTAAATTTCAACTTCACGCAAGTTCATGAAGATATAAATAAAGGGGCTCTTAAAAAGTTATGCGAAATATTTATTAGTGGTTGTTTCAAAATTAAATTCAATTTTTGGTTCTTATATTTAAATAGACTCTGATAATACAGCGTTTAAACTTTCTAGTATCCTTTTCATTAGCCAGCAAGCGATGAAATGGTTAAATTTCATTAAATATTAAAAAAAAATCAAAACATTTACAGTCTTGTGTTCTTCATAGTTAGTGTAGGTAGTGGTATAGTCTATTTATAGATATACCACTATTTATAGATGCCGTCAGTTTTTACTGTAGTAAAACCACTATATTATCTAATAGCTATATGTACCTACCCAATTATTGTAATATTAATAGTAATTTATTACTGTGAATGTAATGTAAAAATAAAGTAATGTAAATATAAAAAATAAATAAAAATTAAAATTCTGTTATTAAATATAACAATAGTTAGTATAAGGATACATTATTAATTGTGTTGTATAGATTAGACAGAAAAATTCACAGTTTGTAACATCAAACAAATTGCAGTGAAAAAATAATTTTGAAAAATCCTTCTGACAATTTTTATTAATTCAGTTTCCATATTTAGTTGTAGACATATAGTCATAAAAATCTTTCCTTTTATTTCGGATAATAATTATTTGGTATTTTTTTTCTCTCAACATTTTCTTAATTCCATTTGCACCTATTTTCTAAAATATTTGCGTGTTGTTCAGCTATATATACAGGGTGCCCCACCGGCAACTTCGTCGATCTGTTATCTAGACGCATTTCATGTATAATATCATTTAAATTTTATCGTTTCTGAGATATTTAATTTTTTATCAAAAATGATGTTTCTAAAAATTTGAAAACATTTACTACTGAAATTTTGAGTTGTGCCAACTAACTATTAAAGGTGTGAAATGTAAAACTAAAATCGCAAAAAGGTTGTACCTATGGGGAGGTAAATACAATACAGTAAATATTCTAAATATTCTTTCTGGAATGTTCGTTTTTTCACTTATAAGTCCTATCTCCTTAAGGTGTTTTTGATATCGTGTGTGCTAATGTATATTAATTAAGTTAGTATACTGTTCGTTAACATACAGAAGAACGGCATCAACTGTTCAAAGCCTAAAAAGTAATAAAGAGATACATGTAGGAAGAGATATGCAAATTGTGTGTCCGTTCTTTACGCAACTGAATGGGTAATGTCGGCAGATGTATAGTAGGTGTATGACCCTTTTGTGTTCTGTGGCGCGCATGTTTGTGTTGTCTCCAAACTTACACCACGCGCTGAATCTTTTTAACAACGTTGCCAAGTGATTGACGGCGTTTTAAACAATGCTCGCTCTGACCTGTTTTTGTTTGACTTTGCGCTTTGAATCGATTTTCCGCTTTCCGAAGGAGATTGTCAAGATATTAATAACCAAAAGTGCTTCCATATAATATAAAACGAGTAGAAATGAACAATGTTAATTAACGCAAAAGGGTATATCGACGAAATATCATAGGTCATAGGTTTTAGAAAAATGTCCCCTATATTTTCTAGATTCATTTTTTTTGTTTATAAATACAGTTAGGCCAAATAACTTTAATTAACCCAAAAATGGTAGGTAAATTAAATTTAAACGTTTCATGTTAGACTTTTGATAATTTTTAATAATAATTAATAATAATAACAATTTAATAATGTGCTTCAAAGTAAATCCCAATATTGTCACTTTTTTTTCTATCCTTTGCAATGACGTTTCGTCTCCAGGGATCACTAACATAGTTTCTAATACGGTCTGTTTTTGCAAATAATGTTTTCTATTCTTTTTGCGTTTTTATTAATTTTACATTTTTTAAATATCCACACAGTTTTTGAAAAGTTAAATGTTATAAAAAGTCAATAACAGAAATTGAATCACCGAAATTATTCTAAATGTGTTTGCAAAAACCGGCGTTTTGTTGTTGTCTTCTTAATTTTTAAAAACCGTTTTTTAAGATATTAAATCTTGTAAGATTTATATCTTTCTCTTTTCAACAATTCATTACACGTTGAGCTTTCTTGACAAATTTCTGTTTTTTGCAAAAACAATATGGTCGCATGATATCGTTATTTTTTAAAATCGTTTGGCATTTTCTTTTCTCTTATTTTAAATTTGTATCAAAACTGCGATTAAATAACTATATATTTATTTAACCTGAAGTGTCACGCCATATTTTCTCATTTAGGAAAATAAGGTCAATAATTGGTATTAGAATGGCACTAAATATTTAAATTAAATAACATAATACTTTTAATTTTAGTTAACTTAACTTTGCAGTTGCTAATAAAACTATAAAATAACCTAATATTTCATAAAAATAGGTAATAATTTCCAAAAAATTGAACATTATTATCACTGAAAATAAGTCTGCAAGCATTGTTATACTAAACAATAATATAAAAATAAATAGAAAAAGTTATAAAAATAATTATAAATTATAAAAATATAAGAATAACATTTTAAATTTAAAATATTTGATTGGCTTTAATAGAATTGTAAACATATTTTAAAACAAAATTTAAAATAAAAGGTAATATGGAGTAAGTGTGTGTAGATTATTAAACAGCATTTACGAAGTATGGTGTTACCAATCCATCTGGGGACAACGTCGAATAATAATTTTTTATATCGTTAATATTTTAACTATGAGTTTGTTTTTTCACGAACCGAGCGAACGTTTAATAAACGAGTGACTGAAGAAGTTTATCAACGTGTTGATTAAATGGCTAAAATGGCGTTCATAAAACGTATTTTACAATATTTATACTTTAGTCACAGAACTTTTTAAACTTATAAATGTAGAAAGTACACAAGCTAACAAAATGACTGCAAATTCATCAGAAGAGGGTAAACAAACTACAGTAAGCAAAATAATAATAAATACAAATATGTATCCACGTCTATTATATTTAAACTATTCAAAATGAACGATAGTAAAACTTTTTAACATTGTAAATAAAAAGAAAAAAGAATCCAATTTGTAATAACGAAAATTACAGTTTGGTCTACGCAGGAAATATTACCGCGGGTACCGTTTGGCAACGCGGTGTTTCAGTCGCCAGCGCTTTCAGTCTCCTGCAATGAATTTATTTTATTCCAACGGCTACGCGCGGGGAGCGGACATGTGATTGTCGCTTCGATTCGTCGTCGTTTCGATCGCATTCCTGCGTTTCGACGTTGCTCTTCCACCCGTTTTTTTTCCCGCAAAACTCCCGAAAATGTAACGCGATACATTTTCGTCAAGCGAGAATTCTAACGGACGTGTCGAAAACGTCCCTAAGGGATTTGTTTTTACGCAAAACGTCCGTTTCGAAACAGCTGATCGCTACTTTGCGTAGGATGATTTGAAAAGTTTCGAGAACTTTTTAGTGGTCGGTGAGTTGCGATAAAATATACCTGTTAACAATCGGCGTTCGGGAAAACTAGCACGCGTTTTTTGTGGTTGGTGCAGGAAGCAGGAAATATGCATCGCAGAATTGAAAGGCGCTTAGGTTGGCGGAAATCGGGCTGCTGAAGGTTAGTTTCGGTTTTGTGCTATTATGGTTGGTACAATTCTGTTGCTGTTAATTCATTTGTTACTTATGTTCCACGAGTGGGAAAATAAATATAAATAAAACAGAATATTAAAAAAAATATATTTTTACGCAACCGCGAAGCGCATTCGTGCAACTACATATTATATGGCACTATTTCAAAATCTTTTTGAAGACCATATCCTATTACATCTCATTTTCAATTTTGATTTGCAATTTTTTAAGGATGGCAAAAAAAAACCGTATGCAAAGTGGTCCCGTGAACAACTCACTTTATATTAATATAAAAAAAATGTAGTACTTAAATATTTCGCATGGTTGGATAAACAAATCTCAAAGTCTTCATACACTAAATGTTTTTTGTTAATACATGAGAGCTTTCAATTTTTGGGAGTAACGAATAAATAATACTTTGTGGCATAACCGTTTATTATAGGTCTGAGCCTATTCAGCATATTGGTTGAAATATGGTATATTTATTTACTATAGAACAATGTTTGGAATGTAAATATAACATTTGTTTTCAATTAACACTCACAAAAACTGAAAACTCTCATTTATTAACAAAAATACTGAAGTTATAGCGTGTACTCGCTTGGAAAAGACAGTAGGTACTTTAAAAGGTACGCTAATTAGATTTTTTTAATAGTCCGAAGGCAATATACACTTTTATGATTAACCTACATAATTAAACAGCCTATCAACATAGCACAAAACGCCTATGGTTTAGAATTCTGTGTGGCTTCTTGTACATCGTTTCATTACTCTCTTATGCTAAGGAATAATTTGGCATCAGCATAAATAACGCAACGTTAGAAATTAAGAACTTTAGGTAATTATTCTCTTAAATGTATACATCTATTTAAGAAATTAAAATCTTGACGTCAGATCGACCGAGGTTTAAACCTGTTCAACAGAACAGACGACGGGGAGCACCAGAATTTTCAATCGCAACACAAATTATTTGGATGGATAAAATTACTGGCTCAGTGGTTTAGAAAATTGGAATTGTGTACATTTTTGGTCTGAATTTTGCATCTGAGACCCAATTTCGCTTGAAAAAAAGGGCGCACTCTCGTACTGCTCGGTAAGCAACGAGGTACACAAGTAGTAAATTGTCGCCCACGTGATAAACACTAATTAAAGATAAACATAAACATAAATTAAATGAGTTTTTACATTAAAGGTATTTCTTGAGATAACAAATCTTGTCGAACAGTTCTACAAATCTATTGTAGATGGGTGTCTTGCAACTACCAGGGGTGAAAGACAAATAATTATTTTCCTAGATTTTTTGCAATTTGGCACGTTTTAGAAGGTGTCAAATCAGTTGTACTGAAAATAAAATCAACTGCTCCTGATCTGCATTTATTAACTGTATAATTGTTCATTAGGCTTTAACGATGTGGTTTAGCAAATGGCAAACTATTCGGTGTTTCGGTGTTTATTTTTTGAGGGCTTATAGTTTACGTTAATCTCTCTCTCTCTTTCTCTTCCTGTCCCTTCCCCCTCCACCATCTCACCATCACCCCCTCTCTTCATCTCATCACTCCCTTTCACCCCCCTCTCTCCCTCTCTCTCCCTCCCCCCTCTCTCACCCTCCCACCCCTCTCTCTCTCTCTCGCGTCCTCAACGTTATTTCCTCTCGCCCTTCCTCCCCCGCCACTCTCTAACTATTCCTATCATTCGTTCTGTTTCTTTCCTACTTTGTTTCTTTTCACGCAAAATCACAACAGATGATTTGAAGATAAACAATAAAAACTTTTCTAAAAAAAAATATAGTCCGATTTTAACGAAAATCTTTCAAAGAAATTTCCGTTGGCTGCGGAACTTGTAGGTACACATCTCTTGCATTTCTCCTGCTTCGGGTGTTGACTCTGTCGCGCCGACGTTTGCCAAACATGCTGCTGCAATGGTCAACACCCAACGCAGCAGAAATCTAAGACATGTATACCTACAACATTTTGATGCAATTGAGGATGATAGTAATGATGAAGTAATTTATGAACAAATTTTCGGTAGGAACTTTTTGTCTATTTTCAACAAGTTTTCCAAACACCTTCATTTGATCTAGTAAAATTTATTGCACTGAAATTAATGATTTGCAATACTTCATTATTAAGTATCTTTACCGGGTGTTGAGGATGGAGGGGGGCGAGAAAGTTGATTCTCCACCTGATTTTAGTAACTATGCTTATAAATAATCTCTTAACGACATACATACATATGTTTTTAATTCTACCCTCTATATCAGTAAGGAAGCGTTTAGATTAGACATAGAATCTCCCTTTAAAATATGTGCTCTGAATTTGTGTATCTTATGTGATTTCCACCAGACCTAAACCCTTTTTCCAAGTATCTACTTAAATTCTTTTATCTGAGATCGGCAATTTGTTATTCCACCGCCAACTGAGAAGGGTATTGATTAGAATCATCTGATTTAAACCACTTGCGGGTAAACAGTTATCTCCGATTCGGATTTGGTACTACATTTTCTATCCGCGCTAGGTTTCGTGTGACTTAGTCGAACAAGTCACCCAACCATTACCTATATTATTATTATTATTATTATTATTATTATTATTATTATTTTATATTATCTACGAAAACAAAACTAACAGTTTGATATAAAACTATGTACTACCTTTGAGAATACTATATAGACATACATATATACATATAGATTGATGATATCAGTGATGAAAAAAAGGTGGAAATATAGGACATTTTTTGTTTATGTATTAGTAGGCCGTGCATATAGCTGTCAATGTGAGTTAAGAACATAATTTTTATTCTTTTTTGAATTTTCTGTTCTGTCACACATAATTTTAGTGATCAAACTTTTTAGTTCATTTAGCAATTTAAAATGTACAAAAATTATGAAAAGTATACGATAAAGTGTTGCATTTTGTCAAATCAAAACGCAGGGACAGCCAATGAACTTTATTTTAATACATTTCCAGAGTGACACCAACCAGACAAGCAAACATATCGTACGTTAAAAAATAATTTAACCATTTACGAAAGTTTCAAAAAGCCAAAGCAAAATCAAAACCACTGAAGAACAGGAAATCCGGGAATTGAATATAATTGACGCTGACGCAACAAATGCTAAAAAAACTAAAGTTTTCACTACTTTAAAAAAACATAAATTCAAGACTTATCGTACCAGAAAAGTCCACCAATTACATAAGGGGATGACGGTAGAAGAATACAATTTTGCATTTTGCATTTTGATTTATCGGAAAATGCAATGAGAACATTAATTTTGCACTGTATATTGTTGTAGAAAATCCTGCTGTAGTGTATCAAAATCGGCAAGTTCGCTTTGCATTCAATGTATAGGTAAAGTCTGTTCATAGATATAAGAAAGTGACTAACTGATACGAATTAAGGAAAGACCCGGGCAAGCTGTAAGAATGAAATATGCCCGAACAGGTCCGTACTTTGCTTAGAATTTAATTATTTGGTTTTTGTTAGAAAAGATACTAAACAATATTTATTTATTTAAGTATATATTTATGTTTAAATCTAAAATAAAATTACAAATTATTTTTATTACCTACTTAAATTACTTAAAATTATTCACATAATATATCAGTATCACTATCGCTATCATCGCCTGTTCTAATTATTATTTGTTCTATATTATTTGCAATATGGATATACGATTGTTCTGCTATTTCCATATGTTTAACAGAATTTACCCAACTTTGTGGAGGGAAGTTAGAGACCTAAGTTTCTATAAGTTTGAGGACATTGGAGCTAATACGGGGAAAAGCATTGTTACGACGAATGGCAGATTTCAGTTGGTGCCAAACATGTTCAATGGGATTAAATATATAGTGGTAAGGTGGAAACCTTAAAACTGTATGCCCTAGATTTTTTGCATAATTATCACAGACGTATTCTTTTTGTAGGTTCAAGCTTTGTAGAATCTCAATTAATTGCTTTTTGGTATAATCTTCGTGAAAATAAATGTCGTTATTATATATGTAGTTTTGGATTTTTGCTTTTGTGTCACACGAGGAAGGGGTTTTAGTCGACTGTCTACTGTGATAACTTGCATTGTCCATTACAATGACGCTATTAGGAGGAATGTTTGGAACTAGTTTGTTTTTAAACCAACTTTCAAATAAATCAGCGGTGGTGTCTTCATGGTATTCCAGAGAAGAATCTTTAATATTTATCGCAGATAGAGAAACTCCATTTGGAATCCAACCATCTTTAGAGCCAGCATGTAAAATAGTTATTCTTCTACCTCTTTTTGAGGGCGCATTTATTTTACACTTATCAGTTGAGTCGACCCAATCCTTTTCCAGGGTATCTGAAGTGTCGAACCAGGTTTCATCCAAGTAAATAATTGCCCTTTGTTGTTCTGTGTAAATCCTAATTTTTTCTATATATTCAAGTCGCCATTTCCGAATTCTAAAAGATTCCATTAAAACTTGCCTTTTGTCAACTTTTTTAAATCTAAAACCTATGTGTTGAATATACTTCCATAAGGTAGTTCTGTAGTATTATATCTTGATCACTTTTATCTACACTCGAGAAAATGTCAGCATCGCTTGTTTTTTTCCTCGTTGAAATGGGATTACTCACAATTTTCAATACAGTTGATGTCGGAATTTTCGTCAATGTGGCCGTTTCTTCTAAAGATGCTTGCTTGCTGGCACCACGTTCAATGAGAGTCAAATAAACATTGTTTATAACTTCCTTAGTCTCAATAGAATAGTGTTTTCTACATTTGGGCGGGAGCATCTTCTGAGATACACTAGACTCGCACATATTTTGCATAATTCGCACACGATTCAGTACATGCTGTATTACACACGAAATAAGAATGATTACTAATAAATTTAAACTAAGTAGTATACCAAACCAAAAAATATTAAACACAGGTAGGTATAAAATTATTTTTTATTACGGACCACAATTTTACCTGAATTTAAATTCCGAAACTTTAGGTAATAATCTTGTTGC